TTTATTGTAGAGATTAGGTCTCGCCAAGTTGCCCAGGCGGGTCTCGAACCTGCGGGCTCAGGCAATCCACTCACCGCAGCCTCCCAAAGGCGCGGGATTGCAGGCTGAGCCACCAAACCCGGCTAAAAATTTTTGTTTTAGAGATAAGGTCTCAATATGTTGCCCAAGCTGGTCTTGAACTCCTAGGCTAAAGCAATCCTCTCACCTCAGCCTCCCAAAGTGTTTGGAATTACAAGTGTGAGTCACTGTGCCCAAACTATGGACTTTGTATTTTTGTCCAGGTGTGATGGAGAGATGTCTGAAGGTTTTAAGTACAAGAATAACATGATCTTTTATTTATTTATACATTTATTTATTCATGAGATGTGGTCTCGCTTTGTTGCCCAGGCTGGAGTGCAGTGGTGTGATCATAGCCCACTGCAGCCTTGAACTCCTGGGCTCAAATGATCCTCCCACCTCAGGCCCCCAAGTAGCTGGAATTACAGGTGCAAGCCACAATGCTTAGCTTGATCTATGTTTTAAAAGAATTGGCCAGGCTCAGTTACTCAACCTGTAATTCCAGCACTTTGGGAGGCTAAGGTGAGTGGATTGCCTGAGCCCGCGGGTTCGAGACCTGCCTGGGCAACTTGGCGAGACTTCGTCTCTATAATAAATCAAAAACTGGCCGGGTGAGGTAGCATGCGTCTGTAGCTCCGGCTACTTGGAAGGCTGAGGTGGAAGGATCGTTGGAGCCCAGTAGGTTGAGACTGTGGTGGCCAGGAACGTGCCCCTGCCCTCCAGCCTGGGCGACAGAGTGAGACTCTAACTCAAAAAAAAAAAAAGAATTACTCAGCTTTCTGCTCTATAAAATGGGGATAATACTAGGACCTGCCCCATAAGCTTGTCATGAGGAGCAAATGAAAGTGATTAAGTAGGAGAACGAGCGTAAGGGTCTTAGTGGGTACCGGGCAGAGTAGGCAGTTGAGTCGATATTAACCACCATGATGACAAAGGGCACACTGAGGAATTCAGGGTGGGGCTGCGGGCTGGCGACAGTAATGACCTGGAGGGTCTGTGCATACAGGCAGGGACAACTCTAATCAGCCTGGCAGACATGAACTTGGGGTTCAGGCCCTGAGTCAGGTATACTGCTGCCCAAGAGCCTACCGGCAGATGGAGAGAACCAATCAAGAATCAGAAATTGGCAGTTCCATGGGGTCTACATAGGAGGAAGATGGGGCCGGGAGGAAGGCACTTCAAGTGTGATTGAGAGAGCATGTACTGTTCAGAGAAGCAGGCTGTGGATGACATTATGGAGTCCTAGCTCCTTTTCCACTGGTCTGGTGCATGAACTTGAGGCCCCATCTGGGTATCCCTGCCTGCCCCATCCTGCTTCTCTGAACCTGTTAAGGAAAAGGATGCCTCTGAAAAGAGAACACAAGCTGGGCGCGGTGGCTCACGCCCATAATCCCAGCACTTTTGGAGGTGGAGGCTAGAAGACTGCCTGAGCCCAGAGTCTGAGACCAGCCTGGGCAACATGGAGAGACTTCATCTCTACAATAAAATAAAAAAATAAGCCGGGTGTGGTGGCGCATACCTGTAGTTCCAGCTACTTGGAAGACTGAAGTGGAAGGATAGCCTGAGCCCAGCAGGTTGAAGCTGTGGTGGCTGTGAGTGAGCGTGCCACTGCACTCCAGCCTGAACAAAAGAGTGAGACACCGACTCAAAAAAAAAAAAAAAGGAAAGAAAAAGAAAAAAAGAACACAGACTCGCGCGATGGTTCACTCCCGTAATCCTAGCACTTTAGGAGGCCTAGGCGAGAAGACTGCTTGGGCCCAGGAGTTTGAGACCAGCCTGGGCAACATAGCCAGACCTTGTCTCTACAAAAAAATTTTAAAAATTACCCAGGCGTGATGGCATGCGCCCATAGCCCTGGTACTCGAGAGGCTGAGGCAGAAGAATCGCCTGGGCCCAGGATGTCCATGTGGTGCGTCATGGTTGTGCCACTGCACTCCACCCTGAACGACAGAGAGACCCCTACTCAAAAAAAGAAAGAAATAGAACACAGCAGAGGAGGGAAAAAATCACTACGGCCAGTGATCAGGGAGCACGGGTGATTTCAACTTGTAACTTATCCAAGAAAAGCGTACCGGCCGTAAGTGCAATAAGCCCTCCCCGCCCCCGTCCCCATCCTGTCCAGCAAGCGTCACTCAGCGGCCGCTGGAACCCCAACTGCGCATGCCCAGTACAGCGCCATCCGGTCCGCAGGCCTTTCCAGGACTTGAACTTCAAAGACTGGTCTGCTTAGGAGCCGACTCTGCTTCAGCCCCGGGCGTGGGGAGGCGAGGGAGAGGCAGACTGGGACATCGAGCACGCAGGAGGGTCTTGCAATAGGCTGAAAACGAGAATGACCCTGCCTGGCCTGCCTTGCGCCTGGAAGCGAGAAGCACGGAGGCCCGAGCAGGCTCCACGCGCTCGCCAAGGGCAGTTTGTTATCATCACGGTTGTTGTTGTGATGACGCCACTGCCCCGCCCGGCCCTGGCCCCGCCCGCGCGGGAAGTGAAACCCCCGGGGAGGCGGAGGCCACCGGGGATTTCTCAAACCCAGTGGCTTCCTCCATCCGTGACGGGCAGTTGGGGCGACCCTGCGAAGCCGCTTCCAAGCCTTGCGAGCTAAGCGGTTGCCACTCAGACGCCCCTCCCGAGGCCCCGGGGGTTGAAAATTTCGGGTTCCCGCTCACGGACACGCCTCCGGGCGAGAGCCATCTTGCGGCAGACACGCCCCACTCCGGGCGCAGGGAGGCCTGAGGGCCTCCCCGTGACGTCACTTCCGCCCGCACCCGCTGCCGCCATGGAAGGGGCGGATCCGCGGCGAAGGGCGCTCCCCTTGCGCGTCACTTCCGGCGAGCCCGGCGGCGACCACGGCAACATGGCCCTGAACGGCGCTGGTGAGGACTCGGACTGCAGGGGCTTGTGGCTGCGGGGAGCAGGGGCAGCCCCCTCCGCCAGAACCCCCGGTCCCTTGTGCCTCTCTTCCCCAGAGGCGGACGATTTCTCCTGGGAGCCCCCGACTGAGGCGGAGACGAAGGTGCTGCAGGCGCGGCGGGAGCGGCAGGACCGCATCTCCCGGCTCATGGGCGACTACCTGCTGCGCGGTTACCGCATGCTGGGCGAGACGTGCTCGGACTGCGGGGTGAGGAGCGACTCGGGCGAGTGGCCGGGGAAGGGGCTGCGGGCCCGGCCTCTCGGCCCTTCCTCAACTCTGGACCCCGTCGCCCGGCGTCTTACCCCCCCCCCCCCC